TTCCCCGCATCCAGATAAGGTGTGATATGGGGAATATGGAGGATGGTTTGTATGGAATAGGTATCAGTGTAATTTATCAATAAAGTCTTTTCCAACTAGCTGTTCTCTGATTCATTTGCAATTTGATGCTACGCTTGAATTATTTAGCGGGAATTATTTCATGGGAAAGAATAGGTAATATGGAATTAAGTACCTCTGAAATCTGTATCTTCTATCTATAGTAAAGGTAAAGGTTGTCCCCTGACATTAAGTCCAGTCATATCTGACTCTGGGATGTGGTGCTCATCTCCATTTCTAAGCCGAAGAGCCAGAGTTGTCCGTAGACACCTCCAAGGTCATGTGGCCGGCATGACTGCATGGAGCGCCGTTATCTTCCTGCCCGAGCGGTACCTATTGATCTACTCACATTTGCATGTTTTTGAACTGCTAGGTTGGCAGAAGCTAGGGCTGACAGCCGGAGCGGTACCTATTGATCTACTCACATTTGCATGTTTTCAAACTGCTAGGTTGGCAGAAGGTAGGGCTGACAGCAGAAGCTCACGCTGCTCCCCGGAATCGAACCTGCCACCGGGGGCAGTGTATCTATACACATAATAAAAGAAAAACGTGTATGTTCGTATGTGGCAGAGGTGTCCACTTGCACAGACAGTCTCCCGCCTCCACAAACAGGCCATGGTTCCAAGTGCTGAGAAGCCTCCAAAGGCACACTGACATTGCAGGTTATAGCAAGCACCATGACCATGTATCCCAAACGTTGCCAAAGTTCTCCCCAACACTACGGCCCACCACCAAAGGAATGCTTTCATTCTGGGAGAATTTCATTATCGATTTGATGTGTTTCCTCCACCACAGGCAGGCATCTCAGGGTTTCTTATGTGGAATTTGCATGACCTCGCCTACTCCCTCTCCCTTAACCCTTTCCTAACCTTTCCTACGGCACACAGGAAACACAGAGGAAGTGATCAGCAAATGCCCCTTCCTTTTCCTTCTCAGCCGCTTGGAGAAAAGGAAAGAGCCTGAGGCTGTTAGGAATTGTGGGAGCTGAAGTCCAAAACACCTGGAGGGCCAAAGTTTGCCCATGCCTGCACTAGAGTACAAAATAGAAATGCATTTACAAAGCACTTCCAACATTGTAAGACTTTTTTTATAGGACTTGCATAGCTACCGGTATTTTTATAACACTTATGTGACCTATGTAATATGCAAAGTTGTTTTCCTTGCAAAGATGAGAACTGAGTAATAATACAGGTTGGATTGAGACAGAGTCCATTGCTATGTTATCACACTTTCCAGTTGCAAAAAGAATATCAATGAATCCAAGGCCCACTATACTATGGACCAAGATATATTTGCATACATCAGCCTCTACCCTGCCAACTCCCAAACACAGCGCCTAGTTTGAATTCTGTGGCTCATTCTAGTCTGTATCCCTAGGGAAACAGCATTATAGACTTAGAAGAAAGCTTGAATCAATAATAATAATAATAATAATAATAGTCCTAGACACTTGGGAAGTGTCCGACGTGTGATCCAATTCAACAGCCTGCTGTGGATTGATCTTGTTGTGTTTCTAATAATAATGATGATGATGATGATGATGATGATGACTGTGGAAAAGAAAAAAGTTTGCATTATTGATGTCGCCATACCATGTGACAGCCGAATTGACGAAAAACAACAGGAAAAACTCAGCCATTATCAAGACCTCAAAATCGAACTGCAAAGACTCTGGCATAATCCAGTACAGGTGGTCCTTGGCACACTGGGCGCCATGACAAATGACCTCAGCCGCCATTTGGAAACAATAAACATTGACAAAATCATGATCTGTCAACTGCAAAAGGCCACCTTACCTGGATCTGCGTGCATCATTCCAAAATACATCACACAGTCCTAGACACTTTGTTCGACTTGTGATTTTGTGATAAGAAATCCAGCATATAGATCTTGTTTGCTGTGACATATGTGTTTTGTGTCAGTAAAATAATAGTAATAATAATAATAACAATAACTTATAGATCACATCCTGAGCTGTTGCAAGAAGATCACGCAGACAGACTACAAGCAGAGGCATAACACCGTTGCTCAGATGATTCATTGGAACTTGTGCCACAAATACCATCTGCCTGCGACAAAGAACTGGTGGAATCACAAGCTGGAAAAAGTTACAGAGAATGAACACGCCAAACTCCTCTGGGACTTCTGGATTCAGACAGACAGTTCTGGAGCATAATACTCCTGACCTCACAATCATGTTAAAAAACCAAGTATGGATTGTCAATGTTGCAATCCCAGGTGACAGCAGGATTGCTGACACGATATGAGAATTTAAAAATCGAACTGCAAAGACTCTGGCACAAATCAGTAAAGGTGGTCCCAGTGGTGATCGGCACATTGGATGCAGTGCCTAAAGACCTTGGCCTGCACTTAAACACAATCGACACTGACAAAATTACCATCTGCCAGCTGCAGAAGGCCACCTTACTGGGATCTGCATGCATTATTCGCCGTTACATCACACAGTCCTAGACACTTGGGAAGTGTCTGACGTGTGATCCAATTCAACAGCCAGCAGAGTGTCTGCTGTGGACTCATCTTGTTGTGTTTCAAATAATAATAACTTTATTTGTATCCCGCCACCATCTCCCAGAAAGGACTTGAGGCGGCTTACAGAACAGCACATAATAGTGCCATAAAAACACATAAAATACAAGTAAATTAATCAACATTTGTAACAACAGTGTCAATGAACATAGAACAATACAACACAACATTGTTAGACAGGACTAAGGATTTCATTTTACCCATTTGCACAGAAGAACACCTTAGAGCTCTCAGGAATGACTTAAGTAGTATTGCTCTCATGACACAATAGCCCCCTCCCCCAAGACGGAGTGGTGTGTCCATCACCGTAAATAGTTCCCAACTCAACCTTTCCTGGTGCCCTCCAACCTGCCCCCAAGTCACCCAATGTGATTCATACCATCCCAAGCTCCCTGTTCCAGGCTCTGTGCTTAAGTTAGCTGCTTGGCGAGTTGTTTCCTGGCAGAGCCCAGCTGCTTGGATGGATGCCCACCTGAAAAGCCCTTGTTGGAGCATGTGGCGTTTACAACAAGTAACATTTTGGGGAAATACAATTCTAGGGTGCTCATGCTTTAGATCTTTCCCTGTGATGTATAAGCCAAGCCAGAAAGAGGTTTTAGAATAAGGTTTCTATCTGGCCCTTGTTCAAAGGAATGGTTCTTAGTTTAAGAGTTTTCAGAGAACTGGTGCCTTTTGTTTTCATGCTTGAGTAGAGCATTAAGTGAGGCCCTCATTTCAGTGCTCTAGCTCTAAACAGACCCTTATTTTCTAAACTATGTTTGGCATCTTTCTAGACCCTGGCCCTATCGTGAAGCAAAGCTGAAGCAGCTGCCTTAGGTAGCATGATACCAGGAGGCAGGGAGTGGTGGGAAGATCTTGAAGGAGAGTGTTGCACATGCTACGTATATGCCCTGACATGTGCTTTCTAAGGTAGTGTGCTTCTTGCAGGTGTGCTGGAAGGCATTGTCTTCACACCAGTGTTCTAGATTCTGGTCACCCATTGGCATGGAATAGGAACTGAATTTCCTTTCCTTTCCTTTGTTTATTTATTTACGACATTTCTACCCTGCCTACACATAGGCAACTATTTGATGCCATAAAGCAATGTACAATTAAAATAAACATTTAAAAATCAAAACAATTAAAAACATTTAAGACAATACTTTCATAACTAATCACGTACTCCTCGAGTGTAATCCAGGCTGTTCCAACGGTCATTGCACATAATTCCATGTCTATCTATTGCACAAGTTCTCCAAAAGCTTGGTCACAAAGCCATGTTTACACTCTCTTATGGAAGGTCAGGAGGGAGAGGGCTGATCTAATATCCCTGGGGAGGGAATTCCACAGCCGCGGGGCCACCACTGAGAAGACCGTCTCTCGTCCCCACCAAGCGCACCTGTGAAGGAGGCGGGATCGAGAGCAGGGCTTCCCCAAACAATCTTAAACTCTGAAGTGGTTCACAGGGGGAGATCCATTCTGGTAGATAAGCTGGGCCAGAACAATTTAGAGCTTTATAGGCTAAAAACAGTACTTTCAGTTGTGCTCAGTAGCAGATTGGAAGCCAGTGGAGCTGACATAACAGGGGGCTTGTATGCTCCTGTATGCCACTCCAGTGAGCAATCTGGCTGTCACCCGTTGGACCATTTGAAGCTTCTGAACAGTCTTCAAAGGCAACCCCACATAGAGCACTTTGCAGTAGTCGATGCGGGATGAAACTAGAGCGTGGACTACTGTGGCCAGCAAAACATCTTGGGTCAAACCTGGAAGCCTTGTGCTCCTTTTTGGGGGAGTTATCCAACTACACTCATGGAAAAGTGATTGAAAAACCGTTTGGACTCTCAGAATCTTTCAATCAGCATGGTCACTTGTCATCTTGGCTGGGGTCTTCTTGGGAATTATAGTCCAAAAAGGTAACTTTTCCAAGCTACACTGTCAAGTGTCTAAGATGTCTTCATAGCTGACAAATCTACCAGGAGTGCTGATGACTCATAGGACAACTTTGGAGACTTGCAGCTGGGCACAGAGCCAGAATTCTTATCCCTAGCCTGATCAACACAGGGGCATAAGCCTATATGGAACGACTGCGGTTCTGCCAACATCCCATCTCCCAGGAGAGTCATGAAGCGAACCTTCTTATGTGTACTTCCCTATTGGGAGGAGGCATTTGTTAATAGTCACTTTAGAAGGTGACTTTTGGGCAATTGGATTAGGAGTGAATATGACGGACTGAGCTCATGACAAAGGCGCCCAGTGGGGTGGGAACTGAGTACTGGTGTCATTTGGGGCAGGACACACGTTGACTCTATATAGTAGTGGCTTCAAAAGGAAAGGAGCAGATCCGGTGTATGAAAAATTGGGAAGGCTGCTGAGCCAGTGACCAGGAATACTTTAAACTCTAATACAAGACAAAGAAGATAGATATGGACCAGGGAGTGAAATGGGCAACAGAACTTATTGACCAAAAGTTGGCTCTGGAGGAGGAACAGCAGGTAAGTCTTGGGGGCTCAAATGAGGTTGGTTTTAGGAAGTAGGGTTAGCCCAGAGCCCTTCCACACAGCCATATAACCCAAAATATTAAGGCAGAAAATCCCACAATATCCACTTTGAACTGTGTTATCTGAGTCCACACTGCCATATATTCCAGTTCAAAGCAGATATTGTGGGATTTTATTCAGCTGTGTGGAAGGGGACCCAGGTTATACCAGATACTGGAAAATACTGAAACTTCAGAGACAGGAAATTTTAGCCTGTGGAAAATATCTGAATTTGGGGATATGAACTGTTTTGTTGACAACTCCTATAATCTGCAGTCAGCATGGTGTGACTATTATGTAGTTCTAGGACAGTGTTTCTCACTCTTTCTAATTCCACGACCCCTTAATACAGTTCCTCCTGTTGTGGTGACCCGCAACCATAACATTATTTTCGTCGCTACTACATAACTGTCATTTTGCTACTGTTATGAACTGTCATGTAAATATCTGATATGCAGGATGTCTTTTCATTCACTGGACCAAATTTGGCACAAATATCTAATATGCCCAAATTTGAATACTGGTGGGTTTGGAGGGTATTGATTTTGTCATTTGGGAGTTGTAGTTGCGGGATTTATAGTTCACTGACAATCAAAGAGCATTCTGAACTCCACTAACAATGGAATTGAATCAAACTTGGCACACAGAACTCCCATGACCAACAGAAAATACTGGAAGGGGTTGTAGGCATTTACCTTGAGTTTTGGAGTTGTAGTTCACCTATATCCATGGGCACTGTGGACTCGAACAATGATGGATCTGGGCCAAATTTGACATGGATACTTAATATGCCCAAATGTGAACACTGGTGAAGTTTGGGGAAAGCAGACCTTGACATTTGGGAGCTGTAGTTAATGGGATTTATACTTCACCTGCAATCAAAAAGCATTCTGAACCCCACCAATGATACCCACACAGAACCCCCATGTCTTGAAGGGACTCACTGGCACGAAGCCCCTCCAGCCTTGCATGGTCTCCCTCGCCCTGCCCATGCGCACTATGTTGTCATGAACTAAGCATGCCTGCTTTCCCCTCCCCACTTGGAGTCTCAGAAACAGCCCTCCCCTTTTCTGAGAGGCCAGCCAATCACAGTAGAGGAGGGCTTTTGGTGGGAGGATTTGCCATCTGTTTCCAAAAAGGAAGAGAAGGACAGAGATCTTCAGCCTTCTCTGCTAAAGGGGTTCCCAAGACTATCAGAAATATATCTTTTCTGGTAGTCTTTGGCAACCTCTCTGAAACCCCCTCGCAACCCCCTCAGGGGTCCTGATCCCCAGGTTGAGAAATGCTATTCTAGGAGAAGTAAAACCCTAAAAAGCTAAACTCTCTAAAAATGACACAATATTCTTACCAAGCAAATAACAGAACCACTTTAGGAAGGGGACCTGTGGACAGCTATCTCATCTTGAGATTTAAGAGGAAGCAAATTCCTCTTCTTCCCCTCAATTTCTTTCCTAAGTAACTTTGAAAAGAGAAATACATAGAAGCAAAGCCCTTCAATATCTTGACTTTGAATTTTTCTTGAATGTTCATGACATGTTTGGAAAGTTTAAGGCTGGTATAGCTGCACCTAATAGCATCTTGCTAAAAAAAAAAACTCCAAAGCATGGAGACTCTGGGTTGTTTAGGAGTTAAACTCACCAGAAATTTTGGAATAAGAGGAAAAAGACTCAAACTAGACCTTGACTGAAACTCTTGAGGCTGCAAGAGACTGTCACAGACAATGTATGTCTCCGGTAAAGCTACCTGGATTGGTCTAGCACAGGCATGGGCTTGAGGCTGTTAGGAATTGTGGAAGTTGAAGTCCAAAACACCTGAAAGGCCAAAGTTTTCTCATGCCTCATCTAGCACCTGCTACATGCAAGCGGAAAGTAACAGACTGGGATTCTGAATACATTGGAAATAACATCCCATCACCCTCTTCCTACGCCAAGGAAAGAAAGGAGACAGAGGCTGGGCACATGAGTCTTTAGTGTTTTACTATTACTTGTTTGTTTCACCCAGAAACATTCCACCACTTCCCCTACAAGTGCAAACCCACCAGAAGTAGCACGTACGGACACCCCACTTCTGGAGGACGAGAAGAGGCATGGAGTCAAGCACAAAGGCATTGAAGGAATTAAGGTGAGAGCATATAGGTTAGGACTCTGACTGTGGCTCTTGTATGCTATTCTATTGGACATGGGCATCTGATTGCTGGTGCATTCGTAGCCCTCGGGGAAGCATTTGGAAGCTATCTCCTCGGCCAAAAACATCTCTTCTAAGCAGTCTGGTTTCCCATCTGTGTTGTTATCAGTAATCTCATGCTAACAGCCTTTCTACTGCCCCAGCAGACAGGAATCGATCGATACATGGTCAGTGTGCTTTAGTGGTTGATAAGAAGGGCCAGGGCTGGGGAGACACCGATTCAGCAAATTGGGTGACTATGTGCCAGTCACATGTGTTCAGCATGATCTCCCTTACGGGGCTATTGCAAAGATAATGGAAGAACCATACACATTTCTTCCCTACTTGCTTGAAAGGAAGGTGGAACAAAAATAGCAACAGGCACTCTGTACTCACCAAGTACCAGCACCCTCTGCACTCCAAACTATTAGGAATATTCATTTCTGTGGCTTCCAGTTATGCCATCTAGTGGCCAAACATGTCAAATGATCCACTGTGTTGTTTTCATTTTGCTATCTGAAGGGAATTACAACAAAAGACCGCATTGCAAATGTGGAGAGATGCCTGTATAATTGCTAGAGTACTGGATTAGGCCTCCTTAGATCAGAGCTTTCCAAACTTCAACAGTGAGCCCTTCCACACAGCCATATAACCAAGACTATCAAGACATATAATCCACAATATCTGCTTTGAACTGGGTTATGAGTCCACAATGCTATATAATGCAGTTCAAGTGTGGAAAGGGCCAGTGATTATGAAAACTCATCTATCACATCTAAAAACAAGAGGCTAGTTTAGGGAGTGGAAGGCATCCTCAACATCCATAATGTTGTCCACTTCTAGCATCTACTGGTGGCACAAGTCTCAACTCGCACTGTCAATAATTCATTTTACAGTTATAGCTCAAACCTATCTAGAAACCCTGCCCCTGAATCCTAGAAGGTGGCAATAGGTAAGCTATTTCAAATGAGTGAATGGAAAATACAACAACGTCCAAAAACCCAGTCCATGTAATCCCTTTGGCAGCATAGCCACACTTTCCAGAGATTGTGGAACATGTGGTCCAACACACCTGGAATCAGGTTGAAGTAGATTGCCTTGTCTCCAGATTTATACTTATGTGTCAATTTAGGATAACTCTTCTTATATTTGGTGAAGTAGACTCTGATTTGCAAAAGTTCATGTTACCATAAACGTGTTAGGCTCTAAAGCAGGCATGGGCAAACTTTGGCCCTCCAGATGTTTTGGACTTCAACTCCCACAATTCCTGGCCTCAGGCCCTTTCATTTCCCCCCCTCAGTCCAAAACATCTGGAGGGCCAAAGTTTGCCCATGGCTGCTCTAAGGTTTTCCTACACAGCTGCCCCTATGGAAATGATAAGCAAAAGAGTTATGTCAAAACATCTCTTACATTCTCTTGCAGGGACATGAAAGAGTGCGGAAGAGCTCTGTGGATCTAAGGCGGGAGATCATTGAAGTTGGTGGCACCCAGTATCTCTTTGAACTACGCAAGAAACCCAGGAAGAAGAAGGAGGAGAAGAAACCAGAGCCGGAACCAGAGGAAATTGTAAGAGAAATGCTAAAGAGAAGGGAGACTGGAAAGTGAAACCCAACATAAACTGGGAGGGCCATCTTGAGAAGCTGAAGCAAGGACCAGTAGACATATTGGGAAACTATTTGGTCCTTTCAGTCCAACATTTGGAAGGCCACATAATTCTTATCGCTAATTAGTACCTTCTCAGGACCCTTCCACACAGCCATATAATCCACAATATCAAGGCAGCAAATCCCACAGTATCTGCTTTGAACTGAGTTATCTGAGTCCACACTACCATATTACTTACTTACTTAGGCGATCCCTCGTAGTCCGAGGATGATGGTCCTCCAAGTGTAGTATCCTGGTGGTGGGTCCGTAGGTGACTGTGGAGCCTTATTCTTGATCTGCATCTTCTCCCACAGTGAGGGCATCGGTTTCCAGGTGGAAGGTGGTCCTGGTCGGGTTTGGCTTGACACACCTTCCTTGCCCTCCATTAGTGCCTCTTCAAATTCTGCAGCACTGCTGGTCACAGCTGACCTCCAACTGGAGTGCTCAAGGGCCAGGGCTTCCCAGTTCTCAGTGTCTATGCCAGAGTTTTTAAGGTTGGCTTTGAGCCCATCTTTAATCTCTTTTCCTGTCCTCCAACATTCTGTTTTCCATTCTTGAGTTCGGAGTAGAGCAACTGCTTTGGGAGACGGTGGTCGGGCATCCGGACAACGTGGCCAGTCCAGCAGAGTTGATGGTGGACGACCATCGCTTCAATGCTGGTGGTCTTTGCTTCTTCCAGCACGCTGACATTTGTCCGCTTGTACTTCCCAAGAGATTTGCAGGATTTTTTGGAGCCAGCGCTAATGGAATTGTTCCAGGAGTTGCATGGGATGTCTGTAGACTGTCCACGTCTCGCAGGCATATAGCAGGGTTGGGAGGATACTGCCATATATTCCAATTCAAATCAGATATTGTGGGTTATCTGCCTTGATATTCTGGGTTATATGGCTGTGTGGAAGGGCCCCCAGAGATTGATTGCCTTTCTGAATGTACAACTTTTCCCTTGCAAGAAATAGCCTACCTGGGTGGGAAATCTGGACTAGTTATGTGGAACATTCATACGTTTCTCCATGCTTAGTGCGTTTTTGAAACAACTACTGAAATTTCAAACCTTGTGTACAGACTGGCCCTGTGGCTAATGAGGACTTCTTGAAAGCTGCTGTGCAGGGCAAACTGCGTGTGGTGGAGAAGTTCCTGGTAGATGGCGGCTCCCCAGATACCTGTGATGAGGTAAACACAAAAAGAGCACTGCTTTCCCATGGCTGATGTTTTCCTTCCTATGAAGCTACTAGCTAGAATAGTTGCCTTCAACCTGACAGGCACCAGTTCCTATCATACCCAGTCAACACAGACAGATGTCATGCTTGCCAGGGATGATGGAATGTGTAATCCAGCACACCTGGACACCACAGAAGGATAAGATACTGAATTTCAATGCTGGTTCACTGCTGGTTCGCCACAATTAGGAGAGTCCTCATGTTAGAGAAGAATGGAGAATTTGGGTAGCAGAAATAAAAGGTCACCTTTAATATTCAAAGAACAGAATGTTGAATAGAGATCAGTCCTGCTTTTGTGAATACATGACTAATATATGCAAACAACATGAGGTGACTGGATATTGGATATTGGAGCCCCCGGTGGTGCAGCAGGTTAAATCATTGAGCTGCTGAACTTGCTGACTGAAAGGTCAGCAGTTTGAATCCAGGGATCAGGTTGAGTTCCCACTGTTAGCCTCAGCTTCTGCCAACCTAGCAGTTTGAAAACATGCAAATGTGAATAGATCAATAGGTACCACTTTGGCGGGAAGGTAACTGCTCTCCATGCAGTCATGCTAGCCACATGACCTTGGAGGTGTCTATGGACAACAATGGCTCTTTGGCTTAGAAATGGAGATGAGCACCACACCCCAGAGTTGGACACAACTAGACATAATGACAAGGGGAAACCTTTACCTTAACGGCCAAGTTGCAGTATTTCAGAAGTCCTTGTGTTGTAGACCACCATAGTCAATGGTGAGTGATGTTGGGGAGCTACAGTCCCAACATCTGACTACATTTTGCCTACTCTAGATTTGGACAAATTCAACGCAAAAGCTTAATTACCATTGAACAATATGCTTCTGTTTGGATTTCAAGGTGCTAGTGATGACAGTAAGAATTTAATACTTGAGGGAGTACTTCTTCTTATGTACATCTACTCAGGGACTAAGATCTGCTGCAGAGCTCTTCTCAATATCCCACCAGTGCAAGCAATACATTTGTGGAAAGATGTGAGGCAAGATGTTCCACAACTCAATATTAGGATGGATTGCTGGGAATTGGAGACAACAGCATTTCTTTCTTTCTAGTACAAAAAATGTTTTAGCAAAACACAAAGACAAGAAGACTAGGCAGATGACCTCTTGGAACACTTCTGGAGCTAAAAATGGAATTACATATGTCTCATCCTAGGTTAAAAAGTGACATAATCTATGATACAGAAATACATAGAATAGGCTCATGGTCCCCATCAGTGGTTCTTGGGCCCAATTAATGAAGTCCCAAGAGGTAGGGAGCTTGAGATTCAACACAGCTCTGGATGACATGAAAGAAATGGCACAGATGTGCTTAGATTAGCAAGTGATAAAAAGCACTGGAGCAGTTGTGGGTAGCTAGGGAAAATGTAGGTTTAACAAAGATATGAAAAGGGAGCAGGGAGAAACACTCTATAATGAGGAAGCAGCATTTTTTTTGCACATCTCCATCACTAAAAACTGCCATTCTTTTTCACATTTAGTTCCGCCGGACAGCTTTGCACCGTGCGTCACTTGAGGGGCATGTGGAGATTGCAGAGAAACTCTTGGCCCAAGGCGCTACTGTTGACTTCAGAGATAGAGTAAGACACCCCTTGTCATACCATTCTATCATCTACATCTACTTACGTCATCACAATGCCCATCTCTCTATTTCAGCATTTCTCAACCTGGTAGTCAGGACCTCTGTGTGGGGTCACGAAGGGAGATTCAAAGGGGTTGCCAAAGACCATTAGAAAACACAGTATTTTCTGTCGGTCATGGGGGTTCTGTGTGGGAAGTCTGGCCCAATTCTAACATTGGTGGTGTTCAGAATGCTCTTTGATTGTAAGTGAACTATAAATCCCAGCAACTACAACTCCCAAATGTCAAGATCTATTTTCCCCAAACTCTACCAGTGTTCACAATTGAGCATATTGAGTATTTGCGCCAAGTTTGATCCAGATCTATCATTGCTTGAGTCCACAGTGCTCTCTGGATGTAGGTGAACTACAACTCCAAAACTCAAGGTCAATGCCCACCAAAGCCTTCCTGTATGTTCTGTTGGTCATAGGGGATTTGTGTCCCAAGTTTGGTTGAATTCCATCATTGGTGAGTTCAGAATGCTTCTTGATTGTAGGTGAAGTAAAAATCCTAGCAACTGTAACTCCCAAATGACAAAATCAATCCCCCCTAACCTCACCAGTATTCAGATTTCGACATATTGGTTATTTGTGCCAAATTTGGTCTAGTGAATGAAAATACGCCCTAAGTATCCAATATTTACATGATGATTCATAACAGTAGCAAAATTACAGTTATGAAGTAGCAATGAAAATAATTTTATGGTTGGGGGTCACCACAACATGAGGAACTGTATTAAGGGGTTGCGGCATTAAAAAGGTTGAGAACCACTGCTCTATTTGCTGTTTCATTGTCATCCATTTCCCCTCTGTAGAAGAAGAGATGGATTTAGGTGGTGCTCTAAATACATCATTAGCTCGGGACTTTTCTAAGGGAGGATGAAGGGAGGGCAACTACATTTGCATGGATCTGATAGGAGTGGTTCTAAAAAGGGACAGGGGCTGAGTGAAGCAGTTCTTTTCTCTAATTGATTCACGCTGCTTGATGATAGCTGGACTCCACCGCTATGCACTGGGCCTGCCGTGGTGGATATCTGGAGGTGGTGAAGCTGTTGCAAGAAAAAGGAGCTAATCTCAATGTGAAAGACAAGGTGAGCTGAGCAGTATGGATTTCAATATTTGGTGTGCTGTCAGAGAAATCAGGATGCAAAAGAAATGTTAACGAGCTATAGTTGAAGGGAATTTGTGTGAAAAGAGTGAGGATTAACAGATTTTCTGGGTCTTGGGGACATTGTGACTGGAAAACATGCTGCTCTAGGCAGAGCTTGAAATAATTCTTTTTTGGACCACAATTCCTGATCACTTTAGTTAAAAAGTAACTTTTCCAAGCTCTGATTCTGGGATGATATTGGTGCTTTCTTGGTGATAAAGAACACAGCAAGCAGGGGATGCTGCTAGAACTAATGTGCAATCATGTGTCTCCTTTTTTGATCCCATCTTCATGTTTATTTGCCACCTGCTCAAACTCAGCTTCTTAGCACCCCACTTCACGTGGCCACTCGGACTGGAATGGTTGACATTGTGGAGCACCTGCTAAATAATGGAGTGGATGCCAATTCCCGTGATCGCGTAAGAGATGCCTTTTGTGATTGATTATCTGTTTGCTGTAGTATAGAAAGCTTGCCTCACTCTAGTAATGTGAGGGCAGGTGACACAATAACACATACACATATATATCAGTGCAATATATAATAACAAGCTAATAGCTGAGACTCTCTCCACAGAGAAGGGCACACTCACATTTAGAGGAAACAAAACGCAGGAAATTATCAGTTTGATATGATGTAAGGTTGAATTTCACCACTTTAACTTTGATAACCAGTCTTTAAATAAAGGAAACCCTGGAATAACCATTAGGGAGAGAATAATTAATGTGCAAAACTGTGAAAGTGGGCTGATGCTTACCAGGTCTGGGGATTGCTAAACTGCACCTTACCCACCTGAGTGGGTTACTGAGCAGCTTGAATGGGCACTAAGGGCATCACTAGTTGGGAGATGTGCTAGAAGTTTCACATAATTGAGAAGCCAGACTTGGCCATGGTGGTCCATGCCTTGGTTACATTTCATCTAGACTACTGTAACAGGCTCTACGTGGGGCTGCCCCTGAAGAGTGCCCTGAAACTCCAACTAGTCCAAAGAGCTGCAGCCAGATTACTCACAGGTGCTGGACCCAGGGAGTGCACAACTCTACTGCTACAGCACCTTCACAGGCTGCCAATTTGTTTCCGAGCCCAATTCAAGGTGCTGGTTTTGACCTTTAAAGTTTACTTATCCAACCACATCTCCTCATATCAACCTGCCCGATCACTAAGATTGTCAGGGGAGACCCTGCTCTCGCTTCTGCCACCGTCCCAAATGCGGCTGGTGGCAACGAGGGAGAGGGCCTTCTCGGTGGCCACCCTGAGCCTTTGGAATACCCTCTTCAAGGAAATTAAAACAGCTCCCTCCCTTTCCTCCTTCAAAAAGCAGCTAAAAACCTTTCTGTCAGCGAAGAAATCTAGACTGAAGTGCCAGGAAATGCCAAAAAAATTATTAACTGGAGTGAAGTGCAATATAACCCAACAAGATACCACATTCATGTATATTGTTTTAAAACTGTTTTATTTTAAGATTTTTTAAATGTTTATTGGTTGTTTTATTTGTTTTATATGTGTGTTTGGATTGTTGTTTGTACGATATCAATATGCTGGATGCAGCTTTGGGTCCCTTCGTGGGAGAAAAGCAGGATATAAATAAAGATTTATTATTATTTATCATATTTCTATCAAAAGATGGCAGCAGACCTGGGAAACAAAACTGCACAGAAGGCACTTTGAAATCTCAGGAGTGAATGTTACAGTGAGCTGCTGCTACTACTGAGGGATCACACGCCAATATCTGGATAATTCTAACAGGATGAAACTCCCACATGTTTCTGGAATCCTACTCCTAATACTTTTTCCTTTCTTTTCCATGAAGGTCCAAATAGACCTAATTTCTAGCTTCTTCCACCTGTATTTCCTTACTAATGTCGAACCAGGGATGCAAAGTATATGGGGTTCTTCATATGATAATAAACTACAATTATCATCTGTTCTATCAGCTTACCAAAGTGGTGGCAACTATAATTGAAAAATATTTGGAATTCAGCAAATCCCCATCCTTGCTGTAACTCCTGGAGCGAATGTGTCTATCCTTTACATGTTTACACTGCCAATCCTTTTTTGTGTGTTATCTTAATTAGACTATAATCCTGGGAGCAGATAACTGTTTTGTTGGGTTTTTTTTCTTGTAAAACACCATGTACAGTGATGACACTATCTTTCGATAGTATTTAGCTCTCCAGGTGGTTTCTGCCCACTAGGCTCTATTCAATACATCCAGACTGTTTTTACATACACATACACACCTTGAGAGACATCTAAGCAAGTTTGTGCTTAGATGACTCTATAGAATTTCCCATTCTTACATCAACATCACAAGCTGTATATGGTAACTGCTGCCAGTGTGTCTTTGCCAAACACCTAAGGGTTTTGTCATGTCTCTTGTAGGAGGGAGAGAGCGCCCTCCATGATGCTGTCCGTCTAAATCGCTACAAGATAATTAAAATGCTCATTCTGCACGGAGCGGACATGATGGCCAAAAACGTGGTAAGTCTTGCTGCTTTGTGGCCTGCATCAAACACTATTGCAGATTAGAGGGAGATTCTCAGGACCCTTCCACACAGGCCTGTATCCCAAAATATCAAAGCAGAATATCCCACAATATCTGCTTTGAACTGGAATATATGGTAGTGTGGACTCAGATAACTCAGTTCAAAGCAGATATTGTGGGATTTTCTGCCTTGATATTCTGGGATACAGGCCTGTGTGGAAGGGCCATCAGTCTACTTGTGAGACCATCATGGCTAGGGGATTTCGGGGTGGCAGTTCCAAAATTTAGCTTTTCCAAACTCTGTGTGACCCAAAGCATGATTTCTCTTGCCAATGCTGTCTCATGGGCATTTGAGGAGTCATGTGCAGTTCTGTAATAAGTAAGTTCCCAAATGTCACTTTTACATTGTTGGTCTGGTCAAACCAGAGGTTCAATGGCATGAGGACACTGATCTTTCTGTTTCTGCCTCTCTTGCCCCAGGCTGGTAAAACTCCAACAGATCTTGTGCAACTATGGCAGACAGACACACGGGATGTGCTGGAGAAGCAAGAGCCAGATGCAGCAGAAATGCCAGCGTAAGGCACAAATGGAAGGAAAGCAGAGAAGGCAAATAGAACTCCAATCAGAATGGTTCTGGACTTCAAAAAGCTGTGCCATTAAAATGCAATAAAGAAATAAACAAAGGAAAGATCACTTAGAAGTTTGTGCACCGCCTACCTTCCTTGTGTAGCCACAACATTGTACCTGAACTCTATCAGCTGCACAAGAAATTCCGTTCTATGATTTTAACAGCTACACAATAAATTCAGCACCTTTCCATGTGATGGTCCACAGATGGAGGAGCAACAAAATTTCTAGCTTCCAAGTGAATTAAGTTTTCCTTTTTACAAAAGTGGTAAGATCTGCAAACCACAGATCAGAAATCAACTGACTACCAAGTGAAACCCATTCTAGGTATAAAGGGTAAGAGAATCAATGTATTGTCGAAGGCTTTCATGGCTGGAATCACTGGGTTGTTGTAGGTTTTTTCAGGCCATATGGCCATGTTCTAGAGGCATTCTTTCCTGACGTTTCACCTGCATCTGTGGCAAGCATCCTCAGTTAGTGAGGTCTGTTGGAACTAGGAAAATTCGGTTTATATATCTGTGGAATGACCAGGGCGGGACAAAGAAATCTTGTCTGTTGGAGCTAGGTATGAATGTAATCAAGGTGAACAGTTAAAACATTCACACCTAGCTCCAACAGACAAGAGTTCTTTGTCCCACCCTGGTCATTCCACAGATATATAAACCCAATTTTCCTCACTACCTCTGAGGATGCTTGCCATAGATGCAGGCAAAACGTCAGGAGAGAATGCCTCTAGAACATGGTCATATATCCTGAAAAACCTACAACAACCCAGGTAAGAGAATCAACCGAAGTAAATCAAGCTTAGACATGGCAATAATTAATCTGTCCTCTAGCCCTTTCCCTCTAATTGTTTATGACCAAGCAATTGGGAAGACTCATTTACTCCGGCACTCAGGCATTCTCCTGAAACACATAAAGCATATTGCTATTCACAGCCAATTTATGTAGGATTTGGGTGGAGAACCTGACAACTTTCAAATCGGTTTAGTAAAGGTAAAGTCCCCTGACATTAAGTCCAGTCATGTCCAACTCTGGGGGTTAGTGCTCATCTCCATTTCTATACCGAAGAGCCGGTGTTGACTGTAGACACCTCCAAGGTCTGGCGATCCACAGGTTGAGAACCACTGTGTAAGAACACAGGAGTCAGGTGATGTCACTCCAAATGCCTATCCAGTCCAGCTTTGTGCTCCTGCAATAGCAAGCCAGATTGCTCTGGGAAGCCCACAAGCAAGACATTAGAGTACCATACTATGCAGGCTCCCCACCAACTGATATTGAGAGGTATACTGCCTGGCACAGGAAGTAATATGTACCTATATATATATAGCTTTCAAAACAAATGGCCATTGACAGTTTAATCTTAACATGTTCACACTATACATAATCTTACGTTGTTCTATCATGCTTCACCCTTCCACAAACAAAATAGCCTGAACAGTGTAACCCAGGCCTGGGCCAACTTGGGCCTTCCGGATGTTTTGGACTCCAACTCCCCCCACCATTCCTAACAGCCTCAGTCCCTCTCCTTTTCCCCCTCAGCCGCTTAAGCGGCTGAGGGGGGAAAGGAAGGGGCCTGAGGCTGTTAGGAATGGTGGGAGTTGGAGTCCAAATCACCTGGAGGGCCAAAGTTTGCCCACGCTTGACTGAGCCAAAAATGTGCAGCAAGGAGACAGCAGAACCCTCCCTCCTTTTAGGCTGGAGAGACTTCGACCTTCGCTTTGTGAGCCTGACTTGTTCTTCCTTGCCCTTCCCTTGGCCCAGGAAAAGCGGGGCAAGCATGGCTAGGGCGCTGCTAGCCCTCCGAGCCCGGCTCCATCCCCTGCTTGGTCCCAGGGCCGCCCAGAGGGGTCTCCATTCGGGGGACCCTCCTCGGAAGCTGGACCTGCGGGGCATCTACCCGCCTTTGGTCACTCCCTTCACCACGCAAGGAGAGGTGGGCTACAGCCACTTGGAGGAGAACCTACGCCTCTATGGACGGATCCCCTTCCGAGGTAGGGACAGGAGGGCCGGCCAGGATCTGCCCCAAAGGAGAAGTCCGGCATAAATGCGGCGCCGGGGTCTGATCAGGCTCAGAGCCGGAAAAGGAAACCTGCGTGGACTACTCCTCCTCCTCTGTTCCCTCTGCCTGGGGGATTGCACTTCATCACACTAGAGAAAAAAATCCACTTAAAATCTGGTTTCTGCCTCCTGCAGAATTCTGGGGTTTGTGGTCTAGGGAGGAGCCTTTAACAGCCTCCCTAAACTACAAACTCCAGAATTCTGCAGGAGGCAGAAACCGGATTTCAAGTGGATTTTTTTCTCTAGTGTGAGTAAAATATTTTTTGTTTTGTTTCTGAATTTAAAAAAAACGTCACTTCCGAATTGGTTCTATCATTAAAAAAACATGGGAAAAGTTTATTACACTGCAAAAATCCTCCCAACAAAGGATTCCCCCAGGCAGTAAGATGCCAGACCTTGAAGCTGCAAGGCCATTAAATGCTTATCAAGGTGGCCTGTTGCAACATTCACACCTACCTCAACTTAAGACAGTTTCTGATGTAGCTCCACATCTTCAACTTGGGCCATCACCAAATTTGCCCTTCAGATTTTTGCTATAAAGGTATTAAAGGGACAGGAAAAGATGCAACTCTTCTGCTCATAAATGAAAAGTTTCACTGTCTGAAGGCAAATAACCTCTGGTCAGTTAGAAGAAGACATACACAGAAATCAAGGCAGAATCGTGATTTTTGTTGTTTCTCTGACATCTATAACTTATGTGACTTGCAACAAATGGGGGAAAGCAAAAGGACATTGCTTTCATTTGTGGTTCCTTGCATTTGCTGGACCTGTTTCAGGAACATAGGAAGAGGGTGTTCAGTGGAGTAGATAACTATTACTCTGTCTTCAAGGATACACATGGCTGCTTGCCTGGACTTTGAAGTCCTGTGGGAGACAGAAGTAAAGGAGAAAGTTGCATTACTTGGCAATTGTTTTCTCTTTCCCTCGCTCCAAATAACATTTTCCTTGTCCAAAGTATGTGGAGGAGCAACAAATTGGCTTCACCTGAATGACCAGCCATAGCATCTAAGGTCAGCCTAGTTGTTTTGGTCCTGTGTAAGAAAATCTCACAAGTATGCTTCACACCCTTTGGCAGTGAAACAACGACAACAATGTATATTTCATGTTTTGTTATGCTACCATCTGTTTCCTGAGGTAGCTGCCTCACTCTGCATAATGGCAGGGCTTCTCCTGTCCTATGATGCATCTACACAGTCACATTAATACAGTTTGACACTACTTTAATTGCCATGGCTTAATGTTATGAGAGTTGTGGTTTTACAAGGCCTTCACTGCCAAGGAGTGCTGTTGTCTCATTAAACAACAACTCCCACTATAAGGATCCCCCGGTGGCACAATGGTTAAACCCTTGTGCTGGCAGAAATGCTGACCAAAAGGTCAGTGGTTCGAATTTGGGGAGCAGGGTGAGCTCCCATCTGCCAGCTCTAGCTTCCCATGCGGGGACATGAGATAAGCCTCCCACTGGGTGGTAAAACATCCAGGCATCCCCTGGTCAATGTCCTCGCAGACGGCCAATTCTCTCACACCAGAAGTGACTTGCAGTTTCCCAAGTTGCTCCTGACATAACAATGAACCCTGGCAGTTTTTTGGTCGTGTCAGGAGTAACTTGAGAAACTGCAAGTCGCTTCTGGTGTGAGAGAATTGGCCGTCTGCAAGGACGTTGCCCAGGGGACRCCTGGATGATTTTGGTGTTTTTATCATCCTTGTGGGAGGCTTCTCTCATGTCCCCGGATGAGGAGCTGGAGCTGGTAGAGGGAGCTCATCCGACTCTCCCCGGATTCGAACCTGCGACCTGTCRGTCTTCAGTCCTGCCGGCACAGGGGTTTAACCCACTGCACCACCRGGGGCTCAGTGCACTTTAACCCTGGCAGTTAAAGTGGCATCAAACTGCATTAATTCTACAGAGTACATATACCCTAAATAAATAGACCATGTCATATTGATGCSATACTTGTATATGGTCATGTATTCTTTCTGAATGCTCCCAAATTCATTGCCTCCCAGCTATCCATACAGAGCCSAGCAAAATGCATACATCTTTTAAAAATACATACGTATGTGTCAAGAAGAAAGTCAATAAATTATAATTCCCTGATATGGTGTTTGTAGGATTTGCAATCCAGCAACATATGTATGCTGTACATCCCCAACTCTTGCTTTCACATTTTAAGTGGCCTGAGATGAAAGTATATAAATTAATGCTTCTTTCCATGTGAATATTCACAATCCTTTAAAAAACCGTTCCATAGATTGTACTCTCAATATCCCTGCCTTTGAGGTACATAGCAGCTGACAAGAAGAAAACTGATGGAATATAGTAGTTCCTTGGTATCTGCTGGACTTTGGCTCCAGCATTCCTTGTGGATACCAAAATCTGTGAACACTCAATGCCCATTATATACAATGGAAACAGAAAAGTGGGGTTCCTTATATAAAATGGCAAAATCAAGGTGTGCTTTTTGGAATTAAAAAATAATAATTCCAGGACATGGATGGTTGAATCCATAGATAAGGATTCTGTGAATACAGAAGAATGATTTTACTCTCCCCAAATAGAAGAAGTGCTTGAAATAATCTTTAGGTTCCAGTTTAAGACTTTTCATCTATCAAGGCTGAACGGGTCACATAAAGTTCCTGGTGAGCTGCTGGTTCTGCTTGCTTCACTGTCTCCTTCTTTATTGATGTTGCCTGCTGTTTGCATCTACAGTATTTCGTTTGCATTATTCAGTTTTACCTTTAAATTATGCTAATGTTTTTATTTGATTTTATGTTTGGCTGTTTGGGCTGGTAAATCATTTTGGAGACCTTAAGACAGGTATGGGCAAACTTAAGCGGCTGAGGGGGAAACGGAAGGGGCCTGAGGCTGTTAGAAATTGTGGAAGACCAAAGACCTGGAGGGCTGAAGTTGGCCCATGCCTGCTTTAAGAAATGACATGTCAGTACTTGAAATGAGCCTATAACTTTTGGTGGTTATATGCAATGATGAAAACCAACATGCACTTTTTTTAATAGGTTTTGTGGTACAGGGTTCAAATGGGGAAACTCCCTACTTGACGCAACAAGAACGCCTGGAAATAGTGAGACGTGTGCGTCAAACAATACCCAGGGAAAATCTTCTTCTTGCTGGGACTGGATGTGAATGTGAGTATATGGAGGCTGACACTTCTAGAAATTGTAGCGTAATGTAAAATCATGCATAGTTCATGCTTGATCAGTCCACACACTGTCTTGCAAGAGAAAGAAAATATGCCACGCAGATATCAATAAAGAACAAGTGGTTTACTCTTCGTAATACAGAACAACATATATACAATCATGTGATCAGTTGCATTGACTCACATAATGTCCTTTTAGAGAGATTTAAAAGGGTCCATGTGGAAAAACGCCTTCCAGCCATTGATGAAGCAAGAACAAGCTCCAAATTGTCTCTCTTTCTCTCTGTAAACACCTGCACAGCTCAAGCCTAAAAAATGTAACAGTATCCAAAACTCCCAGGCTCAGCTAGCTCTCCGGACATAGCCCAACCAATCAGCTTAATGCACCTTATTTTACAGTTCACACACACACTGATTTCTTACATGCCCTAACAGAAATCACAGGATTTCCTTTTTAATTGAAAGAATATAGTGATATGCTGAAGTGGCCCATAGTGGCATGATGTTCTGCACTCCAGAGCATCATTCTCCCATTGCTCAGTTATGGATGCTTGACATGTCATCATATTAAGTTTCTTCCAGGTCCTGAAGTACACCAGCCTCTAGCTTCCTGATACTCTTAGGGAGGAAACTCAGCCACATACAAATTCTACTAATGTGGACCATTTCTGAATTCTTGTTTCTGTCTTTAGCTGATATAGCAAGGGCAGGCTTGCAAGATTGTTTAGTTGAATTCTGATCAAAGATACAAGTTAAGAGGCTATTTAAACCTGAGAGAGCTGTTACATGAATTGAGCTGGACTTCGTATCCCATAAATTCCCATATTAGATTTCCTCCTGAATAGGCAACCACTGAATTGAACTTTTCTTTGTATGTTTAGTAGGAATATAGATACAATGATGCCTGGTTTCATCACTTTGTCTAATTATTCTACTTAATCTCAAAGCCCCCTGTGGCGCAATGGGTTAAATCTTTGTGCTGGCAGGACTGCTGACCAACAGGTCAATGGTTTGAATCTGGGGAGAGTGGTTGAGCTCCCCTCTGTCAGCTCCAGCTCCCCATGCGGGGACATGAGAGAAGCCTCCCACAAAGATGGTAAAACATCAAACATCCGGGCGTCCACTGGGCAACATTCTTGCAGATGGCCAATTCTCTCACACCAGAAGCGACTTGCAGTTTCTCAAGTCGCTCTTGACATGAAAAAAACAAACAAACTTAATTTGTATTTTGCACTTCTGACAGTGCAGGACCTAGGGCAGAGTTTTTAAAAAGCCTTGCTGCTTGTAGATGTTATCTCCATCCACTGCTGGAACATGGTTTCTAGACTTCTGGATTTATGCATAAATAAATAATTTCAGGTTAGCTTTTAGATTATGAGAGGAGTCTCTCTCTCTCTATATATATCTATATCTATATCACACACACACACACCCACCCTGATTTCATATTTTCAATATTATTGTGGGTGTCCTTCAACCTGAGATAGCTTGGGGTTTCACTCAATGTGTCCAATCCATAAACCATATCACATTACAGAATTATAATAGGTTGATAGCACATTAATTACCGCAGCTCCGTCCTATGGAATCCTGAGATTTGTAGTTTGTTGTGGTACTAGAGCTCTGTGTCAGAGATGGATAAATATTTCACAAAACTACAGTAATCCTAAGGGACAGGCTGATCTGTCAGCTTCACATGTGAGAAGGGCTTCCCCATAAATACACAACAACCCTGTCAGAAATACACTTTAATAATAAATGGAAATGGAAAAAGAGCACTTCCTCATGGTCTGACTTGAGCACCATCTCCAGAAGCCACAGCTGAAAGGGGAAGCCTTTACCTTTGTTCTATGTATTTGTATTTCACTGTATTAGAAGGCACTGAATGTTTGCCTATCTGTGTATCCTACAATCCACTCTGAGTCTTCTCAGGAAGACAGAGCAGAATATAAATAAATTGTATTATTTATTGATTTTTAAAATTATTCCATAACATGGAATCATGGCAATTAAGGTGGTGACAATCTGCTATAATTCTGCAGTGTAGGTTTAGTCTCCGTCTCCTCAGATTCTTCCCAAACTGGAATATAGCTCCCTAGCCTGAAGAAGGTTTCTCACTTTATTTATTTATTTATGATATTTCTATCCCACCTTTCTCAAGCCTGAAGGCAACTCAAGGCAGTTTACAAATTGGCAGCAATTTGATGCCAGAACAATCCATAATATACAATTAAAACATTTAAAACAGCATTATAAAATCAATATAAAATCAATACAGCACAAAAACCATTAAAAACATATATTACTCCCAGAAGCTTTGTAACAAGGTCCAACTTTTGTTTCCATAAGCTATTAAAACCTTGACCTAGCTAGGGTTACCTTCCGCCAGATAATTTGCCCCACTCACCCTTTTCTCTTTAGCAACTCGGAGCACCATTGAAATGACAGCGCTAATGGCCGACGGAGGTGCTGATGCTGCCCTTGTGGTAACTCCTTTCTACTTCCGAGGAAGCATGACCAGTGCTGCCTTGATCCATCATTACACACAGGTGAAGAATGGGGTTGGGGCACCTTTATTATTTGTCACATCAAGGGAACAACCGCCATGTACCTAGGTTCTGCCACACTAAAGAAAGTGTTCTGGATCTACCCTCAATGATAGGGCTTGCTGCAGAGTATCTCGTTGCAGGAGACCTTATTCTAAATGTGCTGGTTGTTTCCTTACATGCTCATGTGTGCTGCTGGTTTCAATTCCCCAGGTGGCTGATGCCTCTCCGATCCCTGTGATACTCTACAGTGTCCCAGCTAACACAGGGCTGGACCTGCCCATCGATGCGGTGCTCACATTAGCGCAACACCCCAACATTGTGGGGATCAAGGACAGTGGTGGCAACGTAAGTGAAAGTTGGAGTTGAATGCTGAGCAAAGCTGATACTGCTGGCAGGCTGTAATTACACCTCAGGCTGCTGATGAGAATCTGAATTTGAGGAGTTTGATCATGTTCTCTTAAGGGCTCCCTCTGAGGTTCTGGAGGCCTCCCAATATTTTCTTAGTTGGAGTGCAATATACAGATATATAAAATTAGACATGTTTTTCTCTCTGTCTATTTGGTGCCTAAAACAACAACTACAACACACACAAACAAAAATTAAATCCTCAAACTAAACCAGACAAAAGAATTAGATCCAACGTTAAACTCTACACATTTCTGGATAATAACTAAAAATGACAAGAAGTTATATTTTTACTTGACACAAAAACATTTGGTGGTTCACAATGCTAACAAGGTAGAAACCTCTTGCACAATCTCTCCGACATCAGGCACTATCCACATTTGCCTCTGAGGCTGAGCTGGATGGGAGTGGGCAGAGCTGGGTGGCCTTCAATTCTGTTCTGAGACCCAACTTTGTGTTCCTCCAAGAACCTCAAATAGAGCCCTTAACTTGAAACAATCATTTTGTGCAGTCCAGGAAATTGACTTTATATATGCAGATGATCGTTTATTCCACTTTCAAATTGGTGTCATGAAGCAGATTGAAGGAGGGGGAAAGAATATTAAGAAATATTGTGATAAGGTGCACATTGAATATCCTGTGCAGATATTATACTTCCTGTTCAGTCAAACCGAGGCTGGAAAAGGGTTTTTAAAAAACTACAGCTCCCATAACTTCCTCAAAAACGTGGCTTCTGCTGTTGAGGGAATTTGTGAAGGTGCAATAAAAATAATGCATTTAAGCTCTGGGTCAAGTATACAGGTTAGAACAGGAATGGGCAAACTTCAGCCCTCCAGGTGTTTTGGACTTCAACTCCCACAATTCCTAACAGCCTATCAGCTGTTAGGAATTGTGGGAATTAAAGTCAAAAATACCTGGAGGGGGTGAAGTTTGCCCATGCCTGGGTTAAAAGCAAGGTAAGCTGGTTGTTTCCACCCTGATATTGTGCTCAACATGTTGAATCTGTCTTTGGCTCAAGGGTGTCTGTAGGAAAGAGGCTTTGTATATGCAGAGATGTCTATAGCTGCACGTCAGAGCATTCATGAAACTGTGATCTGTGGGGCATTTGTGATAGAGCTACTTAAAATCTTAAATTCTAACTCTTAAAATATGGATGCTTTCAAAGGGCCCCTCCACATAGCCCTATCTCCCAGAATATCAAGGCAGAATATCCCACATATCTGAGTGTGGACTAAGATAATCCAGTTCAAAACAGATATTGTGGGATTTTCTGCCTTGATATTCTAGGATATAGGGTGGTGTAGAAGGGCCCAAAGTGTCAGATTAAGTCAGTTCTTCTAACAGGGCTGCAAAAACTGAGATTTCAATAAAGCAGCAAGATTTGGGTTGTTGTAGGTTTTTCAGGCTATATAGCCATGTTCTAGAAGCATTCTCTCCTGACGTTTCGCCTGCATCTATGGCAAGCATCCTCACAACCTCTGAGGATGCTTGCCATAGATGCAGGCGAAATGTCAGGAGAGAATACTTCTAGAACATGGCCATATAGCCTGAAAAACCTACAATAACCCAGTGACTTTAGCCATGAAAGCCTTTGACAATACAGCAAGATTTTGCTTTTTTCCAACATTTTCCCCTCTGGAGATATAGAGATACTGGCTGTGACCTCTGCTAGACCTTGGAAATATTACTTTTCTAGTCTACAGCCCCAGAAGCTGACTCAGTCCTAAGGTTTCTTAGCTACCCTGGCAAGAGGGTCTTTCAGGGCTCTTTTAGAAAAGTGCAAAATATTAAGTTTTCGCAAAAAGTGAGCTCCATGGGGCTGCCAGATCGCCTTGAAGAATTTGCAATGTAAAAGGATTTGGGGACCTTAAACTGCTTTCTGTTTAGATTTGCAGACCACTCATTTCACTCTTCCTTCTTCCCTGAGAATGGTGTTAGCTGCTTTTCATCAGGCAAGAAGCAAAAAAGAGAATCTGTTGAACAGGGTGGAATCCTTCATTAAAAATCGCAACTTGTTTAGTGTAGTGTCAGGAAAATTTCCATAACTGAAAATCAAGCCATACATCATTCTTCTTTAAGCCTCGTTCCTGGAGATATTATGAGCTACACCAGTGGTTCTCAACCTGTGGGTCCCCAGATGTTTTGGCCTTACACTCCAAGAAATCCTAACAGCTGGTAAACTGGCTGGAATTTCTGGGAGTTGTAGGCCAAAACACCTGGGAACTCACAGGTTGAGGACCACTGAGCTACAATATCCATTGTTCCTCATCACGGGTCGTGTTCTTGGGGCTTATGGGAGTTTGAGGCATAAAAATCTGGAAGGATTTACCTTGGGAAAAATTGCTTCATAAATTTAAAAAAGGAAATCTAGTTTGGCAGTACTAGATCAATCTTTCCAGGATACCACCTCATGTCCATTAATGTTTTTGGCCTATGTACTCATTTTTGTGAGTTACTAGTGTCCACTGCCAATGACTCCTTTTGGCACCCTACTAAGATGCCACCTTACTCACCATCTCCTCTCTTGCCAGATTACCCGCATAGCACTCCTTGTCCACAAGACCCAAAATGAGGACTTCCAAGTACTGGCTGGATCAGCTGGTTTTCTGCTGGCTGGCTACATCGTAGGTAGGTGATGGCAGGAACATACCTCCACATGGGGACATTTCTGTGTATCTGGATGTTTTGGAGTACATGCTAGTTGCTGTAACAGATTAAATGAGCATACCAGAACTATTTTCTAACTTGGTTTCATATAAGATGCCTTTAACACAGTTGTTCCCAACCTTTGTCCTCCAGGTGTTTCGAACTTCAGCTCCCACAACTTTGACAGCTGATAGGATGGCTGGGATTTCTGGGAGCTGATGTCCAAAACAATTAGAGGACCAAAGATTGGGAACCACTGCTTTAACAGAATAACTAGAAAGTAACAAATGAAATGTATTTATTTACTTACTACATTTATATACCAGTTTTCTCCCTCTAAGGGAACTCAAAGAGGTTTCCAACATTATAGAGGTAAAATTCAGTAACACACATACATGTGAAAACCAAAAGGTAATAGCAAGACAATAACATATAACTACAAATTCACCTAACCAATTTAAAACATAAACATAAAATAACATTTAGACATAAAGCATGAAAAATTAAACATCGATAATGCAATATCATTTAAATTAAAACCCACCAATAAACAACACAATTTAAAATCAGTTATTAAAATAATTCCATCCAAAATCAAATCCGTAGTCGTTCCATTGGTCCATTCACTATTTGGTGAAAGTATGATAGCTGGGACCCAGTGCTGGTAGCACTACGGTGGTTGCGTAACGCGGCTGTGAATTAGAGAAGGGAACACATACATGAGACACAGCACCACGTGCGTGAGAGACCAGATGCTGTGAGAGACTCAGTTGCGACAGAGTCGACAAGGTAGTTCAGTAGAAAGGGGGGGGGGGGGAAGGCGATGTAGGCTATCCAGAGATCCTATGGCAAACACGTTCAAAAACATAGTTGATTGGAAGGAAGGATAAAAAGGAGGGGAGAAATACGAGCAGTGGTGAAAAATGAATCAAATCCAGTTACTGTTACATTACTTCACTGTTATCCTGTCCCACCTGCATTACATTGCTTCACTTGTATCCTCCCACAGCTGCATCTCTCACTTGGTGCGTTGTCTCACGAGAGCAGTGTTGCGCAACCAGTGTAGCGCTACCAGCACTGGGTCCCAGCTATCATACTTTTACCCACTATTCCTTATTATCTTATTGCACTACAAACTTTGCTGTCCAAAAGTTTGGTCACATAACCACATTTTAACGTGGCTTTTGAAATGCTGGCAATAGGGGGCCACAACATTTGATATCAGAGCTTGGGAAAGTTATTGATCTGCACTGGACAAGCTGATTAGGGGATTCTGAGAGTTGCAGTCCAAAAAGTAAATCTGAAAGGCTAACACAGCTTTTCCAACCTATTGCGCCAAGCAATCAACTGATGGGAAGGAGCCGACTCAGAAAGAACTCTTGGGCTGGTAATAGAGCAGAAATGAAGCATGGAAAATTGTTTCACTGGCAGTATACTCTTCTTTATTTACTCTTTTCCCTGTTCCAGGTGCTGTTGGAGGAATCTGTGCCCTTGCTAATGTACTTGGCACTCAAGTCTGTCAGCTTGAGCAGCTATGTCAAGCTGGAAGCTGGGACGAGGCTCGTGAATTGCAGCATCGGCTCATTGAGCCAAACACTGCAGTAAGCGCAATAGGATGGGGGGAAATATGGCATTGGGAGACAGTATAATGCCTTTCTTCCAGGCCATGAAAGAGATCTTCCACAGCTCAAGAAAAATATTTCAGTGGAGGTTCTGGCCCATAGGATAAAGTTCCAGTCCTATCTGCATGCAAGACTAAATCATGCCCATTCCCATTTTGTGAATGTCAGTTTCTAAGCTAATACTATTCCATGTTTCCTTCCTTTGCTTATTTGCCTTGCATTTTTCCAAGTGAGAGGGAAAACGTGATCTGCAATTGGTAAACACAAAAATTGTCAGATTAATATCTATGTCATTTAATATTTCCATAAATGTGTCCATGATTTGTAATTCCATTGCTTCTGCTGTCTCCGCTTTGAGAACATGCTGGCCATTGTACACAATGCTTGGCTAAGTTGGAAATAGTCTGACTTGGTATTAGGCTACCTCTCTTTATTACTGTTCTGATCCCAGGGTTTTGTGTTTGTTTTGTTTTTTGCTTTAAACTAGATTACATGAATCCCCACTGCCAAATAATCTGAGAGAAACAGAAAATTTGGGATGAGATCCTGGGATATAGGGCCTGTCTGGAAGGGCTCTAAGATACCATAGGTCATTGCTACAACACATGTGTAGGTAACATATTCAGTGCCCTAGGTTACAATCTATGCAGTACCAAGAGAGTAGCAGAATTCAAAACGATCTTAACAGACTGAGATGGGCCAAAACTAACAAAATGAAGTTCAGCAGAGACAAATGCAAGATACTCCACTTAGGCAGAAAAATTAAATGCAAATATACAGAACGGAGGAGGCCTGGCTCATCGGCAGTGCACGTGAAAAATATCTTGGAGTCCTGGAGGAGCCGCTTAAAGAGCTGGGCATGTTTAGCCTGCAGAAGAGAAGGCTGAGAGGAGATATGATGGCTATGTATAAATATGTGAGGGGAAGTCATAGGGAGGAGGGAGCAAGTTTGTTTTCTGCTGCACTGAAGACTAGGACTCAGAACAATGACTTCAAATTGCAGAAAAGGAGATTCCACTTGAACATTTGAAAGAACTTCCTGACTGTGAGAGCTGTCCAGCAGTGGAACTCTCTGCCCCGGAGTATAATGGAGACTCCTTCTTTGGAGATTTTTAAGCAGGGCTGGATGGCCATTTGTTGGGAATGTTTTTAATGCGATTTTCCTACTTCTTGGCAAGGGGTTGGACTGGATGGTCCACAAGGTCTCTTACAACTCTATGATTCTAGGGCCTAGTTCCATAAAATTTTGACCTGGTGTAAAATCAGGGTGCTTCTTATATCACTGGGCTTTGTATGTAATTGGGTTGGTAGGGATCTCCCTTAATTCTCAATCTTATACATTCTAGACCTCATGTAATCTAAGCAGGAATCAAACATTATTTAAGAAATTTTGTCATAAAATATTCATTGAGCATTTCACTAAGGATAAAAAAAGAATCATTCTGCTTTGACACTCATCTATTAGATATACTGCACTAAGGCTTCACCATCTCTCAAAAGCTGACTCAATGTCCTTGCTGATTAAGAATAATGGGACTTGTAGCACACCTGATCTTGGAAAGGCTGCCCTAGATTGTGCAAAACTTCAGTTACTTACAGATTCTCTAAGACTTGAACTGAATAATGCTGGCATGTTAAAGTAGGTTTGCACGTGCCTATTCTACCCTGTTGTTCAAATGATCATTTTCAGACATTGCCACTTTTTCTGTCCTCACAGGTGACTCAAAAGTTTGGAATCCCAGGCCTCAAGCAGGCCATGGAGTGGTTTGGTTACAATGGAGGCCTCTGTCGTGCCCCTTTGCTCCCTTTAAGTGAGATACAAGTGAAAGGACTGCGCCAGGATTTCACTTCCAACGGTTGGCTCTGAAATGCTATGCTGTTCCAAACAAGAACTTGAAACCTGGAAATAGCCAGGTGTTTTTTTTTTTTTTTGGCTGCCTCGCTGGGCATCAGTTTTCACATTTACTGAAATACCGGTCATCCAACCCACACCTCTTTCATTGTCATGCTTTATTGGAAATCTAAGTGTTGAAATAGCAGACAAACAAGGAAAAGTAAACTCTGGAGCGGAACTTCAAAGAAATTAATCGTCTTGTCATAGAAATTCCCTTTGCTATATAGGCTTTGCCCCATTGTTTTAAGATTAGCCTATTTCCTTTTATAGTCCTCCGACTATAGCAGTTAGTGTGTTGGACCAAGGTCCTCAGAAACCAGGGTTCAAATTTCCACTCCACCTGGGAAATATACTGGGTGACCTTGGATAAGTCACATTTCCTGAGCCTCAGAGGAAGGCAACCCCCTCCCCTTTCTGAATGTATTTTGCAATGGTATTATGATAGGGTCACTATACATCAGAAATTACTTGAAGGCACACAATGATGAGCCTTTTGGTCACCTATTATGGTATATGCTTTACTCCATTGCCTGCTCTATTGTCCTTTAATCTCAGGACTGATTAGATATGTCACTCCCTGGTTCTAAAACTGAAAGATCTCCATAATCCCCTTCATTGTTAGGGTGGTGAGATATCATTGTTCCTATCCTGATTTACCAGGTTCAAGTATCACCTCTTGTTCCCAACAATACGTTCCATGATTAAGTCAAATGTTTGAAGGGAAGAGTTTATTGCATGAGTGCATGTCCTGCTTCTATGAACCTGGATTTGCCGAACAATTGCTAATTCTTGATGTGAATAAGAATGTAGGAGAAGGAGTTGGGGTGCAGGTTTGACCAATACATTCAGAGTATTGACAAGAGCCAAACTAGTTATTGGAAAGCATTAATTAAGAGGGAAAATGATGTTTCACAGCCAACACTGCTTCCTGATGTACTTTTGACTTGCTTCCTTTCAGCTCCTGGGACTGATGTGACAGGGAGTCGAATAGTTTTTCAGTGTGACACAATTTCCAAATTAAAGAGATTCTGTTGTGGTTTTCCCAGTCGTTAGTAAACGTTACATTCTGCTTTTCAGGGGTAAAGAGGGGACTTGATTGAATTGTTATCTCACAATCTCAGCAGAGAGGCAAAGGAAAGAGGCTTGGATTCCTCATTGAAGAATATAATAGAGAACCGAATGTAATGCTTGTTTCTGTACTCCTAGCACCCAAATGACAGGTGACAACCCTCCTCAGCACAGTAAACTATCATTTTGGCTGATGGTCAATGGAAGTCAAGAACCCTATAGATTTCATACAGTGCCAGAAATACATATTAATGGTGTAACATTAGAAAATGTTGACCATTTCCACTACCTTGGCAAACACCTCTCAACAAAAGTCAACATTGACACTGAAATACAACACTGTCTGAGCTCTGTGAGTGCAGCATTTTTCTGAATGAAGCAGAGAGTGTTTGAGGGTCGGAACATTAGTAGAGACATCAAGATGTTTGTTTATAAAGCTATTGTCCTCCCAACGCTGTTATATGCCTGTGACATGTAGACTGTTTACAGATGTCACACTCAACTTCTGGAATGATTCCATCAGTGTTGCCTCCAAAAAAATATGCAAATGTCTTGGGAAGATAGTCGTTCTGTGAGAAGCAAAGACCAGCAGCAGTGAAGTGATGATCCTCCACCATTAATTTTGCTGGACGGGCCATGTTGTTCGAATGCCCGATCATCATCTCCCAAATCAATTAATATACTCTCAAGAAACAGAAAGTTGGTGACAGGAAAAGAGATTTAAAGATGGTCTTAAAGCTAATCTTAACAACTGTGACATAGACACCAAGAACTGGGAACCCCTGGCTCTTGAGCGCTCTAACTGGAAGTCATCTGTTACAAACAGTGTTGTGGAATTCGAAGAGTCATGAATGGAGGGCAAAAGGGAGAAACATCTCATACTCAGCCAACCTTTGTTGGGACCACCTTCTATCTGGAAATTGATGTGAAAGAACATGCAGAGCAATAGATCTCCATTGCCACCTATGCATACACCGCCAAGACACTCTACTTGGAGGACCATCGTCCTCAGGCTACGAGGGATTGCCTAAGTAAGTAATCTAGATATTAACGATAAACACAGTTGGAAATGCCTAGAGATGTCATAGCCTATGATAATTTCATAAGTACACAAAGAGGACGAGTCCTGAGAATCATTTTTCTTGGGTGTGCACAAAAACACACCCAATGGACTTACATTGCTGTTTCAACTGAAATTCAGAATGGCAACTCAGAAGTATATGGATGTTTCCATTGCTGGGATTTTTAGCTAATTTTCAGTCAGTTTTTGGGAGGTAGGGCTATATAGCAATCTTATCCAGTACATGGGAGGCTACTTTTTGCATATAGGGTGGGGGGCAAAATGTAACAGGATCAGATACTGCAGGGAAGAATTGACAAGTAATAAAAAAGACATTAGGCCATGTGTGGTCTGCAGAGTACACTTTCTTTGCCCATCTGCTTTGAGGGGACAGAATTTTTTAAAACCACAGCGCTGTCCAGATGTCGATGGACACCTTCCTATTATAATAATGGGCCAAGCTGGGTGGGGATGATTGGAACTGGAAAGCTACAAGTTCCTAGCTCAGATTACAAAAAAGTAGAGAAAGGATAATAGATGCTAGAGATGGAAAGAACTGCTTTATTAAAATTGGACATACTTACAGTATATATAAGTTACACAAGAGTATAGGAACTAGAGAGCAGTGCCAGTCTTCACAGAAAGGTGTGGTTTAAGGATGGATTTAGAGGAAGAAAAAGAGGCAGCACCATGATGCTGTTCACACAAGGCAACAAGGAAGAAAAAGTAGATATGCTTGAAGAGGAGGACACTTTCAAAGCACTGATGATGGTGGATCTGCAGGAGTAAAAATTACAGGAAAAGGTGAAATGGAATATAAAAACTGAGGATTAGGGCTGTGGCATAGAGATCAATGGTTGTCTATCTGGAAACAAATTGAAAATCACTTAAGATTTAGAGAAATGTGTCTCATGGACAGAGGTAGTAGCAGAATGCTAGATGCAGGTGAAGGAATTCAGGTGTGATGATAAAATAAGAGCAAAGACGTGCTCCTCTCTTGCCAATACTGGATGATTCCTCAACTACTCATGTTATTATGAGGGGAGAAACCTAATCCCAAGCTTCTTTCAAGAACATGCGGTGATTATTGAAATTGTTGACATAAAGAAAACATTTAAAATCCGAAATATGATAAAGACAGAGCAAGCCGGGTTTCCCTTTTCAGGATGTACAGCATACACCAAGGGGAGGGAATGCACATGTTTGGCAGATAGGAAGAGTTTGGATGTTTTAGGCATCAGGTTTCAATCTTTGGCAATCCCCTCTCCTCCTAATAAGGACTATGTATAATTGTGTACTAGGCAGTGAATGCGTTTTATGCCCAAGATTAATGTATGAAGAAGTCTTATGATTACTACATTTCATAGCGATGCACTGAGTTAAATCTCTGAGCTGCTGAACTTGCTGTCAGAAAGGTCAGCAGTTCGAATCTGGGGAAAAGGGGGTGAGCTCCTGCTGTTAGCCCCAGCTTCTGCCAACCTAGCAGTCGGAAAACATACAAATGTGAGTGCAACCGCTCCAGCAAGAAGGTAATGGCACTCCAAGCAGTCATGCCAGCCACATGACCTTGGAGGTGTCTACGGACAATGCTGGCTCTTTGGCTTAGAAATGGAGATGAGCACCACCCTGCAGAGACTTAAGGCCATGGGAAAACCTTTACCTTTTACACTTCATGGGTATGAAGGATGTATATTATTATTTGCAGCATTACTCTGGCTGCAGAATTTATCATCTATTTCTTACATATTGGTTCTATGGTGATATTTCATAGTATCATAGAGTTGGAAGGGATCACAAGGGCCATCCAGCCTAACCCTGTCACACTCCCCACATGTATATTTGCTACATACGACCAATTGGAAGAGGGGAAAAAAGACACAGAAGCAGATGTTCAGCAACTCTTTATTTGGCCAAGGCCCTTACATGGGCAGAGACACAAAGGCACGAGGGTGGCATTGACATGCAAACATTCAATGTGGAAGTGGGCTGGTCACACAAAGGCTCCAGCATGGCACTTGGGGACACACACTATGCAGGTCAATGCTTGGCTAAGAACACCCCCCAGTCTCACAACAATCCCACGTTTAATTTTAATGCACAGGAACACAAAGTGGTTAGGCAGAAACAGAGCAGCTCTTCAGTGACCACTCACTCCCAACTCAATCCCTATCATATGATTTCGTACTGTCAGTCTTGCTATGTGACAATGAGCTGCCCTCCTACTATTCCAGTCTGCCATTTCCAAAAAGCCCATAGTTCTAGCCGGGGCTACACTTTGCATTGACATCATTGCTCCATTTTAGTATACCAATACACTACTCAAAGCTTAGAAGAGTTACTTTCTTGAAGAACTCCCAGAATCCTGCAGCCAACATGGTTATTGCCCTTGGCAGCTGAGGATTCTTAGAGTTAGCTTCCAAAAAGGAACTTTTTGAAGCTCTGGTATTAAGGATGCCACACAATCTCCATACTGTAAGCTGTTGTGCTAGGTTCCACAGTTCACTTACGGTACATCAAAATGCTTCTAAAGGAATTAAACAGCATTATTATATCTGTGAGCGAGCAACCTCTTTGAACCTTGGGAGTTAAATAGGGAAGGTCACCACTTGTTTTATGTACATATAGGGCTGTGCATATGACATTGTTCTGTGATAGCATTATGCAGTATTGAACACAGGGATCAGCATCCTGAGACTTCTTGAAAAATAATCATTCTATTTTAATGGAATTTTTTAGTCATTAAGATAACATGGAAAAGATAAGAAATATTAATAATATATGTGTTAAAAATCTCAGAAACCAAAGGAAGGATTTGGGAAATGTATAGGATTTATGGCACTAGCAATAAAGAATAGCACTTTCGTGAATGCAAAACCCTTGCTTTTCCCCCATGACCAGCAACCAGAGAAACCATAAGTATATGCCTTCCTTTTTTTCCTTTTTTTGCTTGTTTATATAGCTGATACAGTATGTTGGACTGTACTTGGTGTAGAATTTTGGTTTCTGAAATTCAAGATATGCACAGCCCTGTCTATGTGACAGTGTGGTGCATGGATGCCATGCAATAGCTCTGGAGACAAAGTCAAGTAGTATAGACCCTTCAGAAGGTGTCAAGGCTGGGAAACGTTGACTTTCATCCAAGAAACAGCCCAAAAATTCACAGTGAAAGTGGCCCAAATAAATGGGAGAAAGCACAACACAGCTATAAAGAAGAGTGGAAAGAGAATCCAGGTACACTCTGGAGCTTAAAGGACATTAGACTCTTTAGTTCAGGCCTCCTGTCTGATGCTGATTCACAAACCTGGGGAAAGGCACATTCAAAAGATGCAGAATTCAGATCTCTATCCCAATTCTCCACTACCATCATAATCAATTTCTATTATTTGGACAGAGAAAGGAAAGCTGAACCTCATGCAGCCAGGAGAAGAACAAGAGACTTCTGCTCATGGTAAGGGATAAACACCTTTGCTAAATGCAAGTTGCAGCTCCTCTTTTTGACCACTGAAAACAACCTTCCAGCTGCATTCATCCTAAGGATGGAAAAGTGTATCTTTGTGAATTCTCACAGTGTATACAAATAAATAACCCCTTGTGTCCACTGTAAAGATGGAGAAGACAGGACATAGTGCTTTCCATTTTGCCTGTATACCTATGAGGCTAAAACATTAGCCAACTGCCAATGCCTCAGGAGTGACAGAACCCGTCTGGCAGCCGACAATGGCTTGGTAAGTTGAAGTTTGGCACCAGTTCACAGAATGGGATCAAGCTGTTGAAGGAAGTGGCCCAGATAGGCTATCCAACTGAGCAGGGTTGAGTTGGGATCATCTGCCTCCCAGAGATGGTACTGGTCTCTGTGACACCTGCATTTCACATTCCTGTCAGCCTAAAGGTTAGGCTGCAGTACATGGGAGAGTCTTGAGGCAGGGTGCCTTAGAGCTTGCACCCATCATGCTGTGAGAACATGTGCCAACTTGGAGGCACTTTGTGCACGCTGGACCACTGCCTGGCACTTCTCCCGTCGCAAGAGTTTATTGTTCTCAAAGAAACCTTCATTTCGAGGGATCCCATGGGAGCCATCAGGAAAAGTAAGAAGACCTGTGGGAGAAAATAAAACATAATTGTTTGCCATAGTTGGCAGGGTTCGGGCTTTGTAACAGAGTGAACAAGCAGTCTGGCAAAAAGCAAGATGCTGCACAGAGCTAAGAATGCAGACTTGTACATCACGTTGGGGCACTGGTGGAAAGATCAGTGTATGACCTACTTTGGGGGATAGTCTAAGCCCATGTCCTCCCTTGTACTTGTTCCACATTGTAGTAGTGCTCCGAAAATAGATTAGGTCTGAGAAGATAAGTAATGCTGCTAATGAGGAAAATTTAAGCACTCACCAAAGCCATCAACACGTCCACCCTTGAATTCTCCCTCGAAGATCATGTTGTCATATCGTGTGAAGACTCCAACACCATTAAATTTTCCCTGCACAAATTCACCTTCATACCTGCATCAATAATAGGATTTTTGTCAGGATGAGAGACGATACTTAACAGGCAGAAACTGTTCGGAACAACCAGTTGAGTACATTGTTCTAGACAGAAGAAGGCATTGCTGGGAAGTCTTTAATAATGGCTCTGGAGTAACCCTGGTGGTTACAGAGGACCCAAGTACAGAGATGGCACAGGTGAAAATACAAAAATGTGTTTATTGCTCCAAGTCACATGGGCATGCTTTTTATTAAAAAGTCTTCATGCAGGGAATAGCAAGGCAAAGAGATTCTCCAAATTCAGTGACACAGCAGCAGCAACCTGTACTGAGTGTCTTGTATTCCGATTCTCCTGAGGTCATTTAGGTTCATGCACATGCACTCTCTATATATACTACTAGCCAAGAGCAGTGCCAGTGTGCCCACAGCCCTGTACGCACCTGGAGCCATCTGCAAATGTGAGCACCCCACAGCCATTGAAGAGACCATTCTCAAAGTGTCCCAGGTAAATGCTGCCGTCAGCAAATGTCAACTGCCCAACACCATGCCGGCGCCCTAATCAGAGAGAACAGCAGTATTGCTCTTGTGTCAGGTATTAGGAAGGAGGCCACAGTAAGCCACAAACCAACAGGAACTATGGTGACCTGTTTAACTGCAAAGGGAGCAGGAAATGGGTTGTGATAGAGGCCATGCTGGCTGATCTGGTGTGCAGAGCAAGAATGGACAGACGCTTGCCATTGCTTGTCCCTCTCACCTACCATTCCTTGGCAAAGCATGCTGGAGCTCACAATACCATCATACATTGGCACAAATGCAGGCACAGAATCTTTTCTAGAGATATTTGTTAGTCCCACAGAACTAGGCCAGATGTATCAGTTTGGTTGTGCAACCAGTGAAAGACTTCAGCTACTGCAGTAGACTACATGCACATCCTTGGAAATCAGCTTTTACCTTCCAATGCCAAACACAAACACACAGGGGATGGGGTGGAATACAGGAGTCAAGAAGATGGGCTCCAAGACAGAACACACCTTTGAAACAAAGATCTGTTTGCAGAACTAGTAGTGGAAAGGCCCCCTTATATATATATAAAACAAGAAAAGAGGTGCTGTGTAGCTTTGGTCTCCCAATCTTGTAAGATTGCTCTTTTTCAGGACAGGCAAGTCAGGTTGCTGCAGAAGCAGCAGCAGTGGGGTTTGTGCACTTCCGTCGGGAATTTCTAGCCGAGCTTTATCCAATTTGGTGCCTTCCAGGTGTGTTGGATTATACAGCTCCCATCACCCTCAACCAGCATGGCTAATGTCTGTGCTGACTAAGGATGACAAATGTTGATGCAAAACACATCTGGCAGGACCAGCTAAGAGAAGGCCATTATTGGCCTTCCTGAAAAGTTGTGCACACACCTTCTTTGCAGAATATGGTGGCAATGGGAGGACGTTACCACGCATTAACTCTATTATCTTTGACCCCAGAAGATGCACAGGAAACTAAAAGTTATGTGCTTTCTGGCAAGGGGAACCATGGTCCCCTCTAGCACTGATAATGGAGGGCACTCTCAATTTGTCCAGCCTCACTCACCTTCCTTCCACTCCCCACAATATTCCTCCCCACTGGAGTAGGTGAAGGAGCCCTTGGTCAGGGTCATGGCACCAGCTTTCAAGAAGGCAGGGCAGCAGCTGCAACAGAGGGAGCAAGGGAATGACAGCAGCATAAGACAGGTAAGGGTTACAGGAACACTCGAGAAGCTAGGGAGAGGTACAGAACATGAGGATAGCAGGCAGCAGAAGTGTTCTCGGAGCAGGAATTTGGGAATAAGAGCCCAGTTTCTCAGCCAGCAGAAAGAGCTCTTTCCCAAATGTCACTAACCTGGTACACCACCCACCCTGAAGTGACTAAAGTTACTATCTAATGAGCAGGCCACAATCTATGGTGCATTTGCTACATCACTGGAGACAGGAAAGCAATATTTACTAGAAAATAATAATAATAATAATAATAATAATAATAATAATAATAATAATAATAATACATTTATACCCCCACCCTTCTCACCCCAGTGAGGGACTCAGTGTGGCTTACAATCCATGGCATACAATGCCGCATTACATGTATAATAATAAACATAACATATGAATTTAAACAATTAACATATCAATTTAAACATACAATAATAAACATGAGATAATAATTTGAATATAAATAAAATAACAAGCTTAGAAGTAATTCAAATAGAAATACAATAAAAAAGCTTAAAAGTAAACATACAATAATTCAAATATAAATACAAAAAAGAGCTTAAAAGTAAACATTGAATCCCAACCAAAGTGGGCTGATGGAAAAAATAATGCTGTAGGACATTTTGCTGTCTGAGGCAGAACAGCAAATAGGCCATCGACCCCACTATTCAAGGTAAAATGCATAATTCTGCAATACAGCCAAGTTATTTTTGCACTTAAAGCAACCCACCCCCTTCCTGCCTCTCAACTCTGGCAAAAAACCAACAATAATGCTAAAGTACATAACCATCATTTTGCTGCCACTTAGAAGTGTCTTCACTTTATCTAATGATAGGGCTTGCCCAAACTAGACGTGGCTTCATGATGCTTCTGAAATATGTACATGAGATTACAGTCATCCAGATAAATATAATAGAGTGATTCACAGAGACATTTTTAAAATCATGCTGTTCCCGGTTATGCATCACAACTGTCCATTTGCAACATTATTGACCACTCCATTAACAGAAACAGAAATTACTAAAAGTTAGGCAATTAGAATACTAACAGCTGGAGCTGCATAACTACCCTAAACACACCAGATGACGGAGATTGCTCCACAAGCAGTACTAAACTCCAAATCAGAGAAGGACAACATAATTTCTCCCATTTCCACGACAATCACAGTATAATCAAATAGCTGATGAAAAACTGTTAATCCTATTATTCGGAGTGTCTTTCTCAAGATTAAAAGCATCACTCACAAAAGTACAAATATCACTTGGTGTTGTTGTTGTTTGTTGTTCATTCGTTCAGTCGTCTCCGACTCTTCGTGACCTCATGGACCAGCCCACGCCAGAGCTCCCTGTCGGCCGTTACCACCCCCAGCTCCCTCAAGGTCAGTCCAGTCACTTCAAGGATGCCATCCATCCATCTTGCCCTTGGTCGGCCCCTCTTCCTTTTGCCTTCCACTTTCCCCAGCATAATTGTCTTCTCTAGGCTTTCCTGTCTCCTCATGATGTGGCCAAAGTACTTCGTCACTTGGTACAGGGTCTCAAAAATGCATGTCAATTCAATACTTCAAAATGCGAATGACATTTAAACTTGTGTTTCATTTAATGCTTTTGTTGTTCTTATATTGTTTTAATCTTTAAAAAATACTCAGAATAAGAGACATGCCTAAAATAAATACTCCTGTTGTGCTGTGTGTTCATCAGTTCAGATATTCTCATTAAAAAAAATCAGTGAAAAGCCTCTTCCAGAAGAATACTCCCATCTATACCATCATTTAGCACAGCGAATGCCCATGTTACGCTGCCATAATACAATATTGTCTTGTGAAGCATGAAGCTGCAGATGCATTTTGGAATTTCCCAAACTGCATGTGACAGGATGAAGGATATGAATGTTTCTCTTTCATACATTTGAACAAACCTCAGATTCTCTGAGTGGGAGCAGTTCCTCAAGAGCAATTATGAAAGGATCTAAACTGGCAAAACTAAAGTTTTTATTTCAAATATCATCCTATAAGGATAAGATACATCCTCTTCTTCCTCAGCCTCTCTCCAAGCTAAACCAAGAGGTGGGAATTGTGCAGACCTTCAGATACTGTTGGACTGCAAACCTCACGTCCCAGTCAGCACTGCCAGTATTGAGGAAGCCTGAAAGTTGCAATTCAACATCTAGAAGGCTGGATCATTCCCACTCTTGTGTTAAACGAACTCAACAATTAGCATCACTCATCTGACAATATTGCAGCAAAAGTAAGGCAAGGAACAGCAGAGCTGTTAGTATGTGAATTCTAGTAACAGCTCTAGAGTATGGAAGGAGATACAAATATAAGAACACTTTTCTGTACCTCTTCAGTCTAATGCAGTGGTTCTTAACCTGTGGGTCCCCAGGTGTTTTGGCCTATAACTCCCAGAAATCCCAGCCAGTTTACCAGCTGTTAGGATTTCTGGGAGTTGAAGGCCAAAAACATCTGGGGAACCCAGGTTGAGAACCACTGGATGGCTAAAGCCTCAGTCTTGGCAATGGATGCCTTGAACAGCCTGTGTTGATATATTGCAAGGTGGTAACCTAATAGTAACAACAACAACAACAACAAAAACCCTCTTCTTACCCCACTCCCCACAACATAATGAGGAAATACTACTCTTAGGGTAGTTTCTGAGAATAGCTCAGGAGAGCATGCAAGACCCTATCTCCCATTTTATCTTATCCATACAGCCATTCCATAGAGCATGAATGGCCGAAGTCACCAAAACACTGTTAACTAAAAATGTAATGATTACAATATCACACTTTGACTGGAGCAAGAACTAGGTCCACAGCTGTCTTTGCTCTTTTTAGTCCTAGTACGACACTGTAATCATTACATCACATGCAAGATACAGAGGAACAAACCCTGTGAACATGAATTGTGCAATGCTTTCTCTCACATAAGATCCCGTCCCAGATGTACAAGGCTATGGTTGTGGTAGCCTTAATATGCCATGCCTCTCAGGACTGACCTTGTACTGAGATGCTTCGCCGACTTCTGTCCTATTTCCCCAAGCCAGTGATACACAGAGCAATTTCCTGCCTCTACAAGACAAGCATATCAATTCCTTTCTCAGGAAATTAAACCCTTACAGCTCAAGTTGCTATTGCTTGTTGGTTTTATTTCACCCGGCTAGATTCAAATACAGTCCAAGCCAAAGGGCTTTACATTAATAAAAAATGCATGTGTGGAATCCAGCTGATTAAACATGGACATAAACTTGGTGCTACTTTTCAAAAGAACATAAGAGCCGGAATGGGTCAGAGCAAAGTCCTCTCTGTTCCAGTATTACTTTTTCTCATTGGCAAATTAGATGGCTTTAGGAACTCAGGTGTGCAGCAGCTCCCTCTTGCTCACGTGTCCCATCAGTTAGGTCTGAGAACATTGGTGCTAGAGGAACTATAATGACTTACATTTCATTAGATTATCTAATTTCTTATCAAACCCAACCAGATTAGTGACCAACACTACATCTTTTGTATTGTCAAAGGCTTTTGTGGCTGGAATCACTGGGTTGTTGTAGGTTTTTTGGGCTAATATGGCCATGTTCTAGAAGCATTCCCTCCTGAAGTTTCGCCTGCATCTGTGGCAAGCATCCTCAGATGTTGTGAGGTCCATCTTTTGATTGGAAATCTGTTTGTGCTAAAGTATTGTGTAAATGTAAAGCAATACACTTGATCCCTCCTGGAATTTCCATCATTTCCTCTCATTGCATGATCCCAGATTCTAGTATTATGAAATAAAATTATAATCCAAAGCACTGTATCCCAAACACTTAATAGGTTGGCATCATGACCCCTTACTTTTTTCTGCAGTCCACAAAGCACCAAACACTGCAGACTTTCCTCATAGGAGAACTGATCAAACTAGTCTCTTGATCTGCCTTTTTCTACAACTCCTCCTCTATCTCCAGACTTTGTTTTTAACTAAACTTACACTGTACATTAATACAAACTGATCACAATACTGGCAGGCCCCCCCCCCTTTCCTTGTAATTACAATTTACATTTTTGATAGATTGGCATTTCCACTGAATTATCTATCAACCACAGTCCCAACAGCTCTTTCCTTGTCAGTCACAGAAACAGCAGCATGTATGTGATGAGGCACATTCAGCAGTATTTTCCTCCCTCCTATTTTCAATGCAGAGTTGTACTTTATGCTTATGTATTTTTAGATGCCTATGTATTTTTAGGTACTATTGACATACAGACACCTGTATGTGCATCTGCACTTCTGTAGAAATATGCACTTCTATATGCAGAAATACACATACCTTGAGACACATTTTCCAGCTCCAAAAACAATTGTCATTGCTACATGTAGGGCTCCTGCTTCTTTTTGTGTGCCTTCAAGTAATTTCTGATTCATGGCGACCCTTCCACAAGATTTTCTTGGCAATATGTTTTCAGAAAGGAGTTGCCTTTGCGTTCCTCTGAGGCAGAGAGTGTGACCTGCCCTATCCTGGCCCAACATTCATCCATCCCCACACACACTTTCTTTCATTCCCTGCTTAGCATTCTGTATTTGCAGCTCTTTACTAAAAGAGTCTAGAACTCCCTGTGGCTGGAAGGGGAGAAATATCTATGTCAGCCTATGGCTCATTGGATCTGTTTATAATATGTTCTATCCCAGATATAATTAATATACCTGTCAACATTTTGGGAGTTTATCCAGACAGCATGACACAGTGGGGGTAAAAGAATCTTTTTGGAGGCATCCCACCCACTCAGAAGCCTCAGTCCTCCATCCCTATTTTCCCTTTCAAATGTACTGCCTATCTGACTTACATAATCACATCAGGAAAAAAATTGCACTCTACTGACAGGGTGTTGATGGAATGTAGGCAGTGGCTAAAAACTGAATGGAATTAGCTACAGAAAAGCTTCTTGATAACCTCACAGCAGAGTAATATTTATGTTGTGATCATGAGCACTGCCATTCAGTTTCATGACAGATACTACAGCCTGAATCTACACTTTAGATCTCAGGGTCAAAACACTGAGAGGGTTCCATGATTGAAAAGGTTTGGGAAACACTGTGGCATAGTTTGGGGCAGAACTTCCTAAACTTTTACCACTTACGTCCCTTTTTAGCCCATTTTTTAATGTGACCCTACCTATACAGATATACAAAATTGGTATAAAAATCAAACATTTACTGATAATGTGTCAGCATTTGCAAGGCTTGCTAAACAGGCTGATTGTCTTTTCACGAGGTACAGCTGAAGCATTTTCTGCTAACACGACTGTGCAAATATGGCACCTTGTTGCTATCAGGTTTGTGTAAATGGGCATTCAGAATTTTTATAACGTTGCCAAATTTTTTGGGACTACAACATTAAGCTAAGTGGACCCACAGTTTAAGAAGCAGTGGTATGGGATATAGTATTGGGCCTATTTTAATAGTAACTCATAGAGCAGTGGTTCCCAATCTTTTTGTGGTCACACCCTACTTAAGCATCTCTAAAATCCTGATACCTTCATGTGACATATAATTCTTATTATTCAAAAAGTAAATTCCTTTTTATGTGGAGGAAGCCTAAAAGGTCATTAACTTGGTCTAAACAAGTTTCCAAAAAACATGGCATCCGCCAAAGAGGGAAAAAAGAGCGAATTGATTTGAGTAATCTGCATGAAATTTCAGGGTAACTTAAGTGTCCAACTTCATTGCATGTATTGGTGAGAACATTCTGTCGCCTGACGTTAATTTTCTTACGGCTAACAATCTTTTTATATATTTTCTAAATATAAAAATATTGCCTTACCTATGAAAGTAATAATTGTGCTTGTATTTTTTTCACATATGTCTTGCTACATTCATATGCTGACCAAAAAGATATTTATTTATTTACTGCATTTATATATGTTATGTATAGCTTGCAATGTAAAAAGAGAGAGTTGCCTCCCTTTTCTGTGCTCATCTTTGGAACGACACCAGGTCATGACTGAGGACGGTGTGATTTTATTAGTGAATACAATGTTTTAATGTGCATTTAATTTTATTTAACTTAAGTGTATTCTAATTTAAGTTAGAATTTTGTCCAAAGGCACTTAATAGTTGCCATATGTAAAGCTGCCTTGAGTCCTCTTTTGGGGGTAGAGAAAGGCGAGATACAACTAGATTAAATAAATAAAATGTGAATGTCACATAGTTCTAAGGGCCTCATAGAATAATAGAGTTGGAAGAGACCTCATGGGCCATCCAGTCCAACCCCCTGCCAAGAAGCAGGAAAATTGCATTCAAAGCACCCCTGACAGATGGCCATCCAGCCTCTGTTTAAAAGCTTCCAAAGAAGGAGCCTTCACCACACTCCGAGGCAGAGAGTTCCACTGCTGAACAGCTCTCACAGACAGGAAGTTCTTCCTAATGTTCAGATGGAATCTCCTTTCTTGTAGTTTGAAGCCATGTTTATATACTGTATATGCAGGGGCGGCTCAACCCATTACGCAAAGTAAGCATTTGCAGTATAGTTGATTTTGCCCAGGGGCGCTCTTGAGGCGCTCTTGGGGGAAAATAGACCTTGACATATGCGAGTTGTAGTTACTGGGATGTATAGTTCACCACAATCAAAGAGCATTCTGAACTCCACCAATGATGGAATTGAACCAAATATGGCACACAGAACTCCCACGACAAACAGAAAATATATATCAATGATTGGTTTGGGGGGGGGGGGGCAAAATACTGTTTGCTTACCGAAGAAAATTTCCTAGGACCGCCTCTGTGTATATGAGGCCCCTAGAACCATAAGAAATGCAAAATACGTGTACATTCTGACTTTAATTTTTAAAATGTGTATGTCACAATATATATTTATATACTGTATATGAGGCCACTAGAACTCTAGGAAATGCAAAATACTCACTGTGAATAACTCATTCTCAAATGGCCCCCCTCCTCCAAGTTGGAAACCAAGGCTATGGTGGGCATGGGCCAACTTGGGCCCTCCAGGATGGACTTCAACTTGTGGGAGTTGAAGTCCAAAACACCTGGAGGGCCCAAGTTGGCCCGGCCTGCTCTAGAAACGACATTGATCCAGCAGCTACCAATCCCCATGGGTGCTGGTGAACTGAGAGTCTAGTGTAGCTATCAAAATAGGGTTTCCTTCCATTTGTTCCACTCCCAATATTTATTTATTTATTTTACTGTATTTGTATACAGCCTTTCTCAGCACGTAGGCGACTCAAGGCAGTTAACAGCGCAAAATCCAATGCTTACAATGTTATAATACAATTACAAACATAACATATAATAAAAACTAAACAAATCAATAAAATATAAATTCATAGTGTCTCCTTGTTAAAAACATTGTCCAGACTAATTGTCTAGTCCAGGGGTCCTCAAATTAAGGCCCGAGGGCTGGATGTGGCCCTCCAAGGTTATTTACCCGGTCCTCGCTCAGGGTCAACCTAAGTCTGCAACGACTTGAAAGCACACAACAACAACAACAACAACAATCCTATCTCATCAGCCAAAAGCAGGCCCACACTTCCCATTGAAATACTAATAAGCTTATATTTGTTAAAATTGTTTTTCATTTTAATTATTGTATTATTTTTAAGTGTTTTTTGCACTACAAATAAGATATGTGCAGTGTGCATAGGAATTCACTCATGTTTTTTTTTCCAATTTTAATTTAAAATTATAATCCGGCCCTCCAACAGTTTGAGGGACTGTGACATGGCCCTCTGTTTAAAAAGTTTGAGGACCCCTGGTCTAGTCGTTCCATTTTTCTGTGTCAGTTTCTCTGCATTTGCAAACGCTTGTTCAAAAAGCCACGTCTTGGCTGTTTTCCAGAATGTTAAAAGGGAGGTGGCCAATCTAATATCTATAGGGAGGGCGTTCCTCAGCTGAGGGGCCACCATCGAGAAGGCCATGTCTCTCGTCTCTGTCAAATATATTTGTGACAAAGCCGGTAACAAAAGCAGTGCCTCCTCAGACGATCTTAAGGTCCTAGATTGTTCAGACAGGTAAGTTGGGCTAGAACAGTTTAGGGCTTTATAGGCTAAAGCCCGCACTTTGAATTGTGCCCGGTAGCAAACTGGCAGCCAGTGGAGCTGGCGTAACAGAGGAGTTGTACGCAGGGCCGTAGCCAGAAAAAAAATTCGGGAGGGGTTGAAATTTTGGGGTGTGTGAAAAATTCATGGGGGGGGCTTGAAACTTGCCTCCTAGCTCACGCTGAAGCAAAGAGCACAGTAGGGGGCAGAGCAGCCTTCAATAGCCTGCAGCTCCGCCCCTGTCAACCACCTCCACCAAGTCTGGCCTCCTTAATGAGAGCATTCAACACCCCCCCCCAACTTGGTTGCTTCGCTACATTGGCTATTGCTGCAAGTAATGACAGTGTGAATAAATTGTCAATATTTGCTTGAGATAGTGCTTACAGTTCTGGAGGGACTCTTAATTTTTTGCATCTCATAGACTTAGCATGGGGATTTGGTTAACCAGTTAAAATTCATGAGTAAACCAGGGTTTTTTTAAAAAAATCTGAAACATTTGGGGGGGGGGGTTGAACCTCTAAAACTACCCCCTCGCTACAGGCCTGGTTGTATGCTCCCTGAGCGCTGCTCCTGTTAGCAATCTGGCTGCTGTTTGTTGGACCCTTTGAAGCTTCCGGACAGTTTT